TGTTAAAAATCATGTTCCACTTTAAGACAGCTAGTTTTGATTGTTAGCGAGTACGCGGACTTTTTAAAATTTTGGCTGAGCGCTAGAGTATATTTATGCAGCCATCCTACATTGATGACCAACTTTAATGAATATATATATATCTTTAAATCTTCTTGAATATAGTGACAACCTGAAGCAGTATTTTGAAAACTTCGAATCATTATAATTAGATTGTAAAGTTATGGTTATGATTATATTACATCCGTTCTGTTATAAAGTTGGAATTGTATTGTTAAGTCAGCATTGTACACCATAAAAAAATCATAAAATAGTTTTTGTACTACGATGTATGATTTTAGTTTTTTGCGACTAATAAATATAAACTATTATACTTAAATTCTGAGATCCATTTCAATTTCCGTATGTCTTGAAATGACATGTCTTCCGTATGTATTTAAATTCCGTATGTCTTCCGTATGTATGATTCAAGGCAGAAGAGAAACACGCCAAAGTAAAGCATAACATTAGCAAAGAAACCGTTGCGTCAGTAGGGCTTTTGATGCTGGAGACGTGGAAAATGTGCAGTGCCCTCGCCGGGACTCGAACCCTGGACCTCTTGAAAACGCGTTGAGTATGCTTTCAATTAACTAAGAAGGCATGTGGAAAGGAGGGAGAAAAGTCATTCTATCGTTTTAGAAGGCATATAGATATAGGTCCTTCTTTATAAGGAGCACTTTATGTACTCCGCCTATTAATGGGTCGACTGAGGATGATTTTTAAAGGGCGAGGGGACACATTGGCCAAATCTTGTAAAGTCAATAGGTTATTTTGAAGCAGGAGACGTGAAAAATGTGCACTGCCCTCACCCTGACTCGAACCCTAAGACCTCTCGAATACGTGTCGAGTATGCTTTCAATTACACCACGAAAGCATGCGTAAAAGAGGGAGAAAATACCTTATTTAACAACCTTTATGAGGGGGTCGTGTTGGTTTTAACCAATCCTTTTATATAAACTTTTCAGTAAAAGCCAAGTGTTGGTTAACACACTAATAGGTTGTATCAGACTCTTACTGTGTAATTTTCTTAAAGTTAAATGTAATGTCCGTGTATAACTTAAACCTTTTGCCTTAATATATAATTGTTACACTATAAGCAAATCTTCTATAACCCCATCCAACCCCTTCCTCATAAAGTGGCACCCAACGTTAATGTTTAACTTTGAGTATTTTCGCTTGGTTTTTGCTCACTTTCTTTTTCAGAAACAGTACTTAATATTACATTTAACTGTAAGAAATTAAGCAAGAGTGAAACAACCTATCAAGTTAAACAGTTGATTTTTACTGAAGCACTTCTCTGGCTACTCACCAGAGGGCACCCTCGTAGTTACAGTTAGTCCAACAGTTTATGTTAGCAGCAGAGTTTATATTAAAGGCTTGCTTGGTTACACCTTGTGTTTGGCTCAGATTTTAGTCAAGATTCTATCGATTAAGTGGGCAGACAGCTACAGGTCCCTCTTAATCAGGAGCAAAGAAATCTTCTAATGAAGAGAGGCCGTTTGCTCTCAAAACCGATAGCGTCTTGACTAAAAAATCTACGTCTAAAAGAAAGTTGTTGCTTTGTTAATATTTATTCAGTTTGATTTTTAAAGTTTTACATTGGTTATGGTCGGATTTTGTTGGCAACACTTTCCTATACGAAAATGCAGTTAACTTTAGCAAAAAGGCGAGATATGTTTGAATACGTGATGGTGCAAGCGTAAACGGAGCTTCCAGGAAGTGTTGTATTTTCAACAACCTTCTTTGTAAGTTCCCATTGCCTTTGATAAGTGTTGGGAAAAAAAAAAAAAAAAACCACTGCATTTGGATGCAGACAACGTACATAATGCTTCCTTAAATCTATCTTTTTGTACTGACTTTTTTTTTTTTTTTTTTTTTGTTCCTTTGGAAGACTTTAATTGATGAAAGGATAGCCACTTAGCTATGCTGATCGGGCGAACTCAGACACTGATAACACTGCGAAAAAAAAAAAAAAGAATGTAGTTTCAGCAGAATTTAGCAATAGTACGCGTTTTCTTTATCATCAACCGTTGAAAAATAGTTTGAAAACAACGGAGCGTTCGTTCATTATCAAGTTTTGAGCCTCTCAGAGCGCTTGGTGAAGTGATATCTCTCTGTGTTACTCCTTTCCTTTTTGCTGTTTAAGAATTTAGTGAAACCTATGGTAACTATATTCTTTACCAGTAATATTTCTTTTTAAATTTAAGTCTGATTAACTGTCGTAATGACTTGAAAGGGCAGTTTACGTTTTAGTTGGTATTTAATGGTATAATTGAATGACGATTTTGGCATTCTGAAATATACTTAACGTATAAAAAATTATTAACAGCCTGTTAACTTTGCCTATGGGTGTTTAGAATACTTCATTTTTAAATTTTACTGTTGTATTTCATTTCATCAGTCACAAGATAAATAAATAGCTTGTAATAATATATTAAATATAAATTAATTTTATATCTCTAAATGAATTTGCTGCTGTGTTTGAGCTGATTTTAACTAACCATCCCTTTTTATTTAGCATATGTGATTGTTATTTATTCCTTTTTTTCTAAACGATCTTTACGGTTATAGCTAAAATAATTACTGTTCTAGGTGTTGTGTCTGAAGCTCTTTTACTTCACAATTCGTTATGTGTACTCCATAAATGTTAATTTTATTTTCTTATTTTATATTAATTTTTTATTTGTATTTGTTTTATAAAATATAATCATTTAAACAAATGAAGAAATGCAAATTATTCTAAGATAAATTAGTTCCTTGTACAGTTAAGCTTTTAACAGTTTATGTAGCATTTGCAAGGTAGCTACAAATTGAACTTTCTTTGTTAAATAAACAAACGTATTATTAAATAATTATGTAAAAATAATAGAGAAATGTCCTTTACTTTTCAATGCTTCTAGCTTACGACTTGGTTCATTTGCAGTCCTTTCAAATATAACTCGCTATTTTATGCACTTAAAGCTACATTTAAAAAAAAATCTGTTGAATTCTGAATACAGAAAGTATATTATTAACCATTCTTGCTTGATATATAATTTATTAACATTTTTCGGCGATCAGCGTTTGTAAGCTGAAAATAATTAGTTCTTATTTTGATAGTCATTTGGTGCCTAAGCCGATAGTTACTCATATGTATGTAAACATACAAAATTAAAGTACTTTTCATGATTAATATATATAATTTCACAGATAACGGCAGAAATCTTTATCTGAATTCTAGGATACTAGCATACTAAGCACTTAATTATTTAATTCGTTCAATTTTAGAATTTAGCTGTACAGTAAAACCCCGCTTAACGCTTTTTTAGTATAGTACAAAGTCCGTAATCCGGACTCGTTGGGACTTCAGCGATTCCAGATTAAGGGTTTTTCCGGATTATAGATCATCAAATTAAATTTGGTAAGATGGCCTGCAGAAATTTTACAATTAAAAATATGAAACCGTAATTTATGAAATAAAGAGCAATTATGATCTAAAGGGTATCAAATTTTACAAAAAAAAAGCTTAATATTTATTTGTGTACTATATTAAACATTTCTTTCAACGCGCGCATGCGTAATGTATGCGTAAAGTTTGTGGCTTTGAAGTCCGGATTATAGATCATTCCGGAAAATGGACGTCCGGATTATGGCCTAATGTATGGTCGAAGCTAAGGATGTTGACACAAGAGAATTCATTCTTGTTGTCGACAAAATTGCCAAGATAGCTAATGAAACAGGGTTGGATAATATAAATGCACCGGTTATTGAAGAATTATAGCGAGTTAGAACTGATCACACACTTTCTACCGACGATCTTAAAAAATTAGTCGGACAACAAGTTCACGAAGATGGCTAAATCGTTTGCGTTTCTGAAGATGAGGAACAATAGGAACTTTCAACAGACTTTCTAAAAAGACGTCCAACCACTAAAACGGAAGCTATGACACTAAAAGATAAAATTTTCTGTATGCAAAATGATTTAAATTTTGATAGAAATTCAAAAGCGAAACGAAGTGTCATTGAAGCGATATCTTTTGCTGTCGACAGCTTATTGCTGAACAGAAAAAGGTCAAGCGACGCTGAGATGACTTCTTCACAAAGAAACAAAAAAGTGTCAAATGAGCAAGAAGCTTCCTCATCACGAATATAACTTCTTTATTCAATTTTTTTTATTTTTTATTAATTTGTTATGAATAAGAATCGGTATTAGCAATAAATAAGTCTACAATTAATGTGATAAAAAGTATTTAACAATAAATATTAGAAAATAAAACCAATAAACTGAAAACTTTTCTTGTTCTCACTTCCATTTCACTTATTCCCATTATTTGTATGCTATGATGACCTCATTCAACGCTGTTTTTCTTAGCGCTGGACCTTACTAAATCGTATCCCATGTGTTAAGCAATGTCTTACTGTATTAAAGCCTTTCCTAACTGCATGTGTGGCAAAAATAACAAACATGGAATTTGCGAAGTTAAAAATTAATTTCAGTTTGCTTTTTAAATCGATTTTATTTTACTCCTTTAAAGTAATCACATATTTTGTAATAAAAACAAACGATTTTAGTGTATTGTATGCAAAAAAAGCGAACTGTAAAATCTCTGTATATATGAATGAATAATACATTTTGGCAATGGACCTGCTCGTGAGTGTTGCAAGGGAAATAAAATTAAAAGCTTCTTTTTTACTTTAGATGGTGTAAATAATATGTATTATATAATTATGTAAGTCTACCGAACTGTCTGGAGGAATATTGAGGAATGTCATTTGAAAATACTTTGCTAGCAGGAGTTCAGATAAAAGGACTACGATGTTTGTTAAACTATAGGTGCATTTTTAGAATGAGACTTTCTATCTTGTTTGAAAATTAATCATAAATAAAATATAAACATTTAAAGTTTCTAGGAAAAGAATTTAAATCTGTAAGATATTTTTCAAAAGTATGCCTTTTAAAATGTATATTTTCTCTTTCTTAGTTTCAAGCTGACTTGGGGGAAATACGCATGTGATTGGGTGAAGGATTGTCGACGTCATCTTACCAGGCAGTATTAGAGTTACTGAAATGCGTGTCTAATACTGTCAGGTAAAGATGTCTACGATGTCCTCAAGCGACTCTACATCCGAAGAAAAGAACTGAACTTCACGGAATTATATTCATTGCAGGAGATGCAACGTCAACAGTAACAACTTAGTGGAGGAAAACTCTTATTTGATTAAAGGTAACTAGAATTACGTGTTTTCTATGATTCCTAGATCTGTTTGAACTAGAAACAGGTTTAGTTAAAAATGAATTTTGAAAATAGTAGATTCTATTTGTAAAGGTTTTGGAGATACTGTGCATTGCATGTTAGTTTCCCCCCCCCCTCCAAATTTCTTAATTTACCCTTTTTTTGCGTTTCTATGTTAATAATTTTTGCTAATTTACCTGCAGTCTTTCTTTCATGAGAGACCATTAATTTTTAAAATGTCGTGTCACATGCTTTTAGAGAATACATAGAGTCATAAGGTTATTTTTGTTGCTGGAGGACATGAAAAAATGGATCAATGCCTTCGACGCGACTCGAACCTCGTACCTCTCGAATACGCGCCGAACGTGCTGACCATTACACGACGAAGGCATGCTAAGAAGACGGCAGAAATACCTTACATACTCATCCTTTTAAAGGACGATGGGGGATTAGGGGACCCAGTCGCCAAATTCTGGAGGTGAAGAATCATCACTCACCCCCTTTTTTCAGTTTGGGCGCCACTGTAGATATATTAGGTTATTTCGAAGCGGAAGAGATGAAAAATGAGCAATGTCGTCGACGGGACTCAAACCTCGGACCTCTCGAATACGCGCCAAGTGTGCTGACCATTACACCACGAAGGCATGTTAAGAAGGCAGGAGAAATACCTTATAAATATATATAGTTTAGCTGTTTAGCTATTTATTTAGCTATTAAGAAGCAGGACTTCAAGATTCCTATTTTAGATGATTTTAGAACTGGTAGTTTCGCTTCCTTCTTTTTCTTCATTATATAATCACTTAAATGATAATGAATTAAATTATGAGTACAAGTCTGTTCAAAATGGTAATATGATAAAAATGAAAATCAATATACACTAACTGCAGCTACTGAATAGATATTTAGAAAAGTGTGTACCTTTGAAAACTTTATGTCAGTAGTTGCTTTAAATTTAGAGAAAGCTTACCTGTATTATGTATGCAGATAATTTCATCTTTGTAAGACAAAGACATTGTCACCCGCATGTCTTCCAGCAGGTTCTCAGTTTAACCAAACTCGCAATAAGTTAGTATCTGTAATATGAGGAAGTAGTTTGGGACTGCCTTCATTGTGAATTCTGGTGTAAAATTTTATGTGGTTTTTGCTGCGTAAAGCTATAAATACCCATCAGAAAAACTGTTCGCTTTGATCCAGTTTATTATTAACTAAAGCAATTCTTTTTCATCTTCTTAGTAATTAATTACATATGATGCATGTGCCACTAAATAAAAAATATTAGAACATCTATATATTATCGGCAGTATATAATAAACAAGCATTGTATAGGGAGCCTGGCGTTTGGGGACAAAGTATGAAATATGTGAATTATTTATTATATAAACTTTCTCTAGGCAATGTATGTAACACTTGGGCAGTATATAGAAGGATTAATGCTATTTAGGTAAAATATTAAGACAAAGCCGTAAAAGGGCTTTTAGTGAAAAGATATGACGTTTTTACTTCATAGCACTAAATGCCTAAAACATAAGTTTACTTCCGTTTTCCATTATCACGTCAAAAAAGATTCAGTTATCAATAGTTTCCATGGTTCCTTCTTATTAGTAGTCATCTTAGCCTTTCTTTTACTAGAGTGTGGTAATTAGTACTTTAGGGAAATGCTTTTTTTCGAGCAGTGACTTACACTTTAGACAGTTCACCGTAGAATCGTCATTGCATGTCAACATGCCATGATTCCTTTGTCGGTCACTATACTATGCTTCTCCATTAAGCAATGCACAAGCCAGAATCTTTGCTGAACAAAGTAGTGTACTTTGTCGCTTTCGAAAAGTGCCACGTGACATTAGAAACATCATTAGCGGACAGTGGTTTATATTTTACCCATTTGTCTCTTGCATTGTATTGAATGCCTAGGAGATATGTGAGATGTTAATCGTTTCACTTAGTTGACGTTCAGATTTCGGCATTCTGTACGACACCTGCTTTCATGCATTGGCAGCAACATATACATACACAGCTACATAAATAAATGCACTGTAAATTTACGTGCTATTTCTGGTACAACGTGGGAATCCTTTCCTTCTGACAACCTAGTTAAAGATTAATAATTCCATGTTGTAAGGGAGAAAACATCCATTGACTCCCCATTTGTTAATTTCAGTATTCTAGATAAGATAGTTGGAGCTTATTTAGTTTGTTAATTCCAGAAGTTCATGTTACTTATAATTCTTCGTCTCTTTTCTTCACGAGACTGAAAGCAAAGCATCTTATGATAGTGATGAAATCCTTTTTCATCAAAGGCAGTAGCAAGAATTCAAACTTTCACTAAGATATAAGCGTGGCACAATAATTTACGTGCTATTTCTATATATATCCTATTTCTATATCTAAAATATTTAAAAACTGCAATAATCAGACTTCATACACATAAACAGGCAGAAATATTTCTGGCTTGACTTAATGAGTATAATACTATTATACCAAATTATTTTATCACGTATTGTCTATTGATCAGATGCTATATCATTGCTTGACTAATTTTCGTAGGTTTTATTTTTGCTCTACATCTAAGCGTAATATTTATCCAAACTGAAAATTACATCTAATAGTTACTGTATTGTAACATTCCTTTGAATAGTTTAATGTTTAGGAGTTAACAGTTTTTGATCTCAGTCTGGTACAAAGGCAACATTAACAGTCTAGATATAAACGTATAAAGCATTTTATTTCAATTAGTTAATTATTCCATTAACATTTTATAATGCGAAACAGCAAATTAATTATGTTTTTATTTAATATTTATTTGCTGTACATATTTCTGTCATCTATTGATTAAATTTTTCGCACTGTTCTGGAATATTACATTTTGTAATGGCCATAATTTTCATTTTTGACATTTTAATTAAGGATTTAAATTTTTTCCTCGGATTACGGAAGAGGATGCGTGTGACTCTATTTTTTCCATTTAAGCAGGAATATAATGCATATATTTCTGTCACAGATTTGAGAAACATGATTTCTCAGGAACTGAAAGAAAACTACATTCTGTTTTGCGTCAGTTTCTGATGTATCATTTGTAGACTTTTATTGAGTTTTCATGTGTTGTATATATTTATTTAGAGACAGTATTTCTTTGAGTAATTTATTAGAGATACCAAAAATTATGACAATCTCGTCTTATATTCTACTGTATTTATTAATAGGTTCTATTTAAAAATATGGACATATGACGCTGAACATTGCTTTAAAATCTGAGCCTTCTGGTCATCCTTAGACATATTTGTACCTTTCTAAATTTAAATTGTACATAAGCTATTTAATATCCATTTATGAGTTGAATATATTTCAGCTTATTTTGATAGATGTGTTTGACATTTTGTTTTAAGGAATGAGTAAATTATTATCCATAATTTTACCAGATTGTCTATTAAGAGCAAATTTAACGAGTTAAATTTGAGAATATAATTTAAGTACGACGGTATTTTGCTGATTGTGCTCACGTAACAAGCATGTGGTGACTCATCTTATGAAGGAAGATTTCAAACGTAAGTTTTCCTCTAAATCAGTGATGTAACATTAGCAAGGAGAGGAAGTTACTGTGACGATTGTAATTCAATCGAAAATGTCTTCATCCTCCCCAGTGCCTCCCTTTCCCCGCACCTCTCTCCGTCCTTGCAACTCATTCATCTCCTCAACGCTTGGCGGCCGTAAACTTGGACGCCTTTGCACTGACTGCATCCCAGCATAACAAGGTCTGAATGTCACGGAGCTCTGGTTTCGGAACAGTTTAGTGATGTCATTAATAAAAACATAAAAAAGTGTCGCTGCTTAATCAACGCTTCCCCAGAATGCCGTGTTAGAATTTTCTTGAAGCTAGATATTGTGCTAATATTGTGCTAGATTTGAATGCGTGGAATCAGGCAATCCAAGAGTTCCTTTTCAATGCTCATGGTTCATGCTCATGTGTAAATGAAATATTCTTGTTTTTTGATATTGAAAATGATATAAAAGTTTTATGCTTGTTAATGGGCGTAGTATTTTTCGATTGCTTTGCAAAAGAGTTCGTAGTACATTGTTGAATTGGTAGATACAGTGCTATCACCACCCCCAGTTTTTTATCATAGCTCCTAGTTTCCCAGGGGATCACCGAATCCCCCTGATTTTACTTTTTAGCATTTACCAAGAGAAATATTTCTGAGAAACGCATGAAAATTATCGAATTAATGAACCCTAAAAGATGCAAATTCCATAATCTCACCCAAAGTGATTTTCACCATTTTTCTTTTTATGACCTTATTATGAAGACTCAAGCATTGCTTATTCAGCTAATATTTGCATTTAACTTTGTTTTACACCAATAAATGGTACATTACTAATTTTATCCGCGTAATAGTATGTACTATTAGTTTTGTTTTCAACGTATTTAAAAGTACTTTGATAAATAAAAGCTTTCCTTTCCTAATTTAGGATTTAATATAAAAATGTTAAGAAAATTACAAAGTAAAATTAGCCAAGGAACATAAAATTTACAATATCTAGTTAAATATAAATATTTTACATCAGAATCGCATTATAAATTTATTTAATAACCTTATAATTAAGCAAAACAGCATCCTTATTGTGGCGTATAATTATATATATTACCATTCGTTAGATTTCCTTTCGAGTATAAAATCCAGAGGCAAGTGATGATTCCGCTCTTTATTAACACACATAAATTTATTTACAAATAAAACAATGGTTACAATCATAATTATTAGGCACATGCTGTCGGTGTTGTTAGGCTTAACACTTTCCTTCTTCATATAGAAGTTAAGTTACCGAATAACTCCCACATATTGAAGCGCCACCTAACGGTTGACGCTATCAATTCATAACAACGTCAAAATAAGAGTAATGTTATGCTTAGTTTTAAACTTTGGCCTGTTTCTCTTTAAACTTAAATCTGAATTAATGCATTATAAAGTAAATTTAAGTTAATTTTGAATTCTTTT